ATCCATCCATCCATCCATCCATCCATCCATCCATCCATCCATCCATCGCAGCCGGAGCTGCTAGCTCTCCAGCGTTCCTCGGCCTGCACCAGCTGAGTGAAGCGAGCGTGCATGGGAGTACTCGCTGTTGCAGTTCTTCAAAATTTAAAGCATCAGTCAAAAACTGTGTTATGAATATGCAAAAAACAAAAGTATACAAGTCGCTTCGGCGTATAAGTCGCAGGACTGACAAATCTATGCAAAAAACTGCGACTTGTGCGCCGGAAAATACGGTACACCTGAACATCCCACAGAGAATCTTTAAATTCATGACACCCGTCCTGATGTGCAGTCGTTCGTACCTTCTTGCAGGCGCTGACGGACAAGGCCGCGGTGCTCTCTGTGCTGCGTCCTTCCACATCAAGAGACTCTGAGCCCTCAAACATGGCAGAAGACTGGAAGTTGCTGCGAAGCACAAAGGGCACAGGATCGACTTTGTCAGGACAAGTTTTCATCAAGTGCTCAGACCATTTAAATCAAACAAGTAAAATAAGTGAGGTCTGGCAATCCTCAGACCAACAAACATCACATTTGCTCATACTGATGAGCTGTGATGTTCTTCTACTGGATGAACCATGCAGAGAACCTGAAGAAGAGTAATTACAATGTCCCAGATTTTACTAGTAAAAATCTACCAAAGTGACATCGCTCCTGACTTATTGATAAGCTTTATGTGTTCACATGTCAGCACCCTTTTAACACATATAATTCATGAGAAGTCACGTGTGCATTGTGATCTTTGACACACAGATCTGCTGTGCATCGCAGAGATCTCCACCATGCTGCAGAAAGCTGACTGATACGAACAGATAAATCTTTTTTGCAAAGCAAAGGTGTCATGATGGAAATAACTTGAACACACGAGTGTACACCAACACCTGACCTATATTAGGTGCAGCTACCCAACAAATCCTGTAAAGATGGAACACAGAAACAAGAAAAACTCAACCCTTTGAGCAATAAGGAGTCATTATCCTCTGTGCATGCTTCCACTGAGATAAGCCCAGCCACAGCTTATCTGCAAGTGCATTAATGAGGATCAATTTGGAAAATGAAGAGGCCGGGCATGCATATTTAAATAGGAACATCTGGGTTTTTTATATAATCGACGCATTTCAAAGCGAATCAAAAGCAATCCCCTTTAAAAAAAAAAAAAAAAAACTTTCAGGGATTATTGTAACTATCCATGTGCAGCTATGAACCTGTCGGCTGTGAATAATCGTGCCAGAAAATAATTATTTTTGTGAGGGCCCCCCCCAAAAAAGTATTGCAGCTTTGTAGATTTGATATGATTTAAAACAAGTTTCTGTGTCAGAAAAGAAGAAATCAGAACATCCATTGGGTTTATTACTGAATGTTTGCATGTGGACAGGGCAAAACATAAATCCATTAAAGCAGAGCATATTAAACTGGCCTGCGTGCAATTTATGGTTATTTTTTGTTTGTTTGTTTGTTCTCACCACAGGAAACGGAACAGGACCAGCAGGGTTTAACTGCCATGCGCGACCTCTTCCACAATCTTTGCGCTGTCAACCTCTCCATCACGACGCGCGTGATGATTGACAGCTCAGTGCGCTCTCGTGCTCCCGGGGCTCCTGCGTCCCCATCTCGACAAGAGGACACAATTACCTCCTGACTGCTGCGATAATGTCTGCTTTTGAAAGCCAACAGCTTGCACATCTTTGTGCGTCCTGTTCATGCGGACCCGCAGCCTCCAGACAAACAAGTTTAGCTTCCACCAGCAACAGCCCTGCAGATCCACTCCGTCTGTTCTGATCCGCATCACAACAAAACGAAATGTTTCAAGTCGAAAGTAAAAACTTGTTTCTCTGGGAAATGCTGTTTTGCTGTCTGTCTGTTTTTTTTTTTTTGTTTGTTTGTTTTGGCCAAACATTACACCTAATTTTATGGTCTGTGCCAAGCCTCTCCTCCTGACACGATGTGGTCAGTTGTTGTGCCACAAACGCACCCATTAGTTTAGTTAGAAAATCAAATTTTGTGTCATTATTCGATTCGAATTTTGATTATAACAGCATCAGTGTCTTACCTCGGGGTTTTTAAGCGGCACTTTGCGCCTGCCATCCTGTTCCAATAAAACTGCTCATCCAACAGTGAGGGTACTTCTTCCTCAGTTCCGGCAGGAGGACAGGGAGAGCTGCAGCCTCGATGCGTAATGGTCCCCGGGACACACTCCGGTCCAGATGCGCATCCCAGTCTGCGCACTAAAGGATTCCCAGACTGGATTTCAGCGTGACTGGAGAAGGGCTGAGCGGAGTCAGCAGCAGCATCAGGAGGAGGAGGAGGAGGAGGAGGAGGAGGAGGAGGAGGAGGAGGAGGAGGAGGAGGAGGGCTCCTGTCTGCCTGTCCTGCTCGTCTGTCCTTCTGTCTGCTCAGTGGAAGCGCAGGAGCTCTGCACCGAGCTGCACGACGCAGGCAAGTGCACAGAAAGTGCACACGTCGGCTGACGCACGCGCATGTGTACATACAAGTACAAGCGAGCCTCCGCAGTGACGCGTTATGATAAGATGTTATTTCAAGGCAGGGGCGGTCCTAGGGTCGGACCTTCAGGGGCCCCTTAGGTTCTCCCATTTTGTGATAAGCATTTAAATGGAAAACCTACTGTACTCCATCCATCCTTCCATCCATCCATCCATCCATCCTTCCATCCATCCATCCATCCATCCATCCATCCATCCATCCATCCATCCATCCATCCATCCATCCATCCATCCATCCATCCATCCATCCATCCATCCATTCATCCATCCTTGTTCTTTTCCTTCCAGGGTCGCAGAACATCTGGTACATATCTCTATGTGTCTATTATACTGTCATTGTTTATAATGATCTCTAACATCTATTTTTTCTTACTTGTGTGTAATTTTTGTTTTTTATCATCTTGAAAGGTGGACTATACTGGACCTATGTGCACATCTTCATTTGTCTGTTTGTAAAATATTTAAAACCTACTGGATGAATTTTATTGAACTTACAGAAAATAATTATTGGATATATATCTGTAACTCATAAGCTTTTCGAATCAATCTGATTCAAGACGACATAGAAGACAACACAGCCCGATGTGCTTACAGATGAAAACATGGAAGTTAGCATTTGTGGTCCTTAAGTTGTTCTGCAGTTAGAACCAATTAAATTATCTGACAATGTCAGACTGACATGATCGTTTTGTCTATAGTTAACATTTGATCTTGACTCTGCACACCTACTACAATGCAGAATTGTATTTCTGCAAGAGGAGCCATTGAAAGTGAAACATTCATTCAGCCTTTATTTATACAAGCTAGCCTCACTGATCCAAGTAAACAAACTCAAGTATCAATACCTTTAAGTTAGTATCAATATGGTCCGACACCAATGTTGGTTCCATACGTTGCTGTAGATTCTCAGTCTACCAGGACATTGCAAATAAAAAGAAAAAAGACGAAGCAACTGGGCTTTTGTTCTTTAGCTGATGATGTGCAGAGTTACACGAGTGAAACTGCATGAGGTTGGTATCAGTACTTGTATTATCAATACTTGTATTAATCCATCTACCCCCAACATAAAAGTCTAATTAAATGCGACATAAAACGAACGGTCAGATGATTTCTTTGAAAAAAAAAAACTGTGGCTATGTATCCAATTTTGCACCGCATATATAAAAAGACCTTGTTTATTTTTATTGAACCTTTATTTATATAGGTAGTCTCTTTGGGTCATGAGGACTCATGACTCAAAATCATCAGATTTGGGCTGCTTTTGCCTGCACTGTGAACATAACCTTGATGAGGAAGTATCTAAGAGGCATCTCAAATACATACTTCAAACACAAACAGACCACACAAGATCTTTGTTTAAAATACAAAACTGAAAGTAAAGTACAAGAAAAACGGGGGAAATGATGTTCCAGTCTCCAGTGTTTGAAGAGCAGAGCAAACTGGGTGGCCAAGTTTTGAGAAGTCACTTTTTAAAGTCCAATAATTGTGTGTACGGCTGCCCTTTATTGTGATGTCTTTCTTTGTCCACATCACCTGGTTCAGCTTTGTACAAAGCCACCCTCCTGGTATGATTTAATCTGCTGGAATACACTTTTGAAATGAAAATAAATAGATTTGTACCAGTTTGTTAAAAAATTGTTATTGACAGTCAGTGTGGGATTTAGACCTAAACATTATCACACATGAACAAAATGTAAAATACTAAATATGTTCATTTTTCTTCCTGCAAATGAATCTCTGTGGGATGTTTATGACTGTGCAGAGTTGTAAACAGCTGCATCTTGGACTTCTGCAGATGGGAGAGGTGACGATGAACCAAAAAGGTCGCCTGAAGCTGCACACACTGCAACTAAAACACTGATCACTAACACTACAAGCCTACTTGTTAGGTTTTCTTGTTGATGTCTTCTTTTTTAACCAGTACTTAGACTTTCATTTTACAAATAACTCAAGCTCCTAATCTCCAATCAAGATGCCATGATCTCTTGACAGCAATGAACAACGCTTTGGCCTAAAATCTCTATTCTTTGCATGTGATGGTACATTTGTTTCTCTTTTGGTTCATTTTAACAGTAACTGCATATTGAGTGGGGGCTCAAGAAATTGTGACCTCTATTTTGCACTGAAAATAACTTCAGGAGAGAAAAGTAAATGCATGGAATGGGAGAAAAAGGAGGATTTGAAAAATGCACTGAGAAGGCAGGGGTCCTGATTAGGCAGAGAGAACTGTGTCTTAGTGGATCCCTATGGTGGCTAAAGTGCTGGTCCTTTTGCTGAAAAGATCATTTCTCCCTCAGGAAATGCATCTAATACTCAACAAAAGTATTTTTTATCATGCTGTTGTGCTGTCTTCCATAGATGCCATTTTCTTTTTTTTCTGCCCAATTTCTGAAAATATACAAAAAAAAGTTTTTTGTTAGAACAGCCTTACTTCAGTAATGCGCAAAAAGTAAATGTTAGCATTTGTGTTGAGTTTTTAATGTATATAGATAATGAGACATTTTTTATGAGAGAATAAATGTAAGCATGCAGTTTCAAAACGGTTAAAGGGATAGTATGGATCGTTTAAAGTCAGGGGCAAAACTCATTGGAAGTGTGTCAAAACAGTTTGAATTCAGCTATTGCACATTTGATGCAGCATGGGGTACTTTTTGCCTAAATGTTATATTATGCCTGCCAGAATATTAATGCAATGCAAAAGTTACAGTAGTGTAAAAGAAAAACAACAAGAAACACAATGCTGAAACAACCAGATTTGATGTTTTCAAAGCAGCAAATAAATATCAGTGGTTGATTTGAAAGGTGCAACATTATGTAAAAAAAAAAAAAAAATTAAAAAAAGACTTGTTTTCCTAAACATGAACCTACAAATGGGAAAGACTTGTTTTGTACAGAAAAAAAACAAAAACAAGGTAATAGAGCTTAAGTTACAATTAAACTTTCAGAAAATGTGTCAGAGTTTCAAACTAACATTAATTGTTACATAATCTCAAACACAATATAGAAACACTGACTCATCTGAAAGTTTCTTTATGGCTAATTAATGCCTGACACTGAATGAAATATAATAATTGAATTTTTAGTTGGATGTTTCTTGAAAGCACATGTGTGTTTGAGCTATGATGAACAGTGAGTGCATAACACACTGCAGCTTTGGGCTTCGGCTGCTTCTTCCTTTGATGTCTAACAAACTTAATGTAAAGGTTTTTCCAAATAAATATGCACTTTTAGAAACCAACATGTAAATTAAAATATGTTTGTCAAACTTAAAACCCTACAAGTTGCTGTTTTCTTTTTTAAATCCAGTATCTTGCTCTTTCAGCCAATTAAGGCCCAGTTTATAATTAAAGTATGAACATCATGAGTGTTACATTGAATGTGAAGTATGAAAAATAAAGCTTAGCACACTTTTTTCTTTTGGCAGAACAGAATGACACACTTTTTGAGATATTGCTGTTTGGTGGTGTGCATGAGTGACCGTAAAAGTTGACCCAAATAAAAATGGCTACAATCCCCTTGATTACTTGTGCAGTCTAAAAATAGACCAGAAAACATGTATTTATGCACACCAAAATAAAAGCCTGGGAATACATAACAAATATAATACAAAATGTATAAATATATGGTCATTTTCTGTAAGAAATTTGAAACATTTCTATTAAAATTTGCCACTTTGCCATTTTCTACCAGTTTTATTTTGCCTTTTGCTTCCCAACAAACAAGGCTTGGGAAGGAGCCACTGTTTAAACAGAGTAGCAAATAATCACAAGATGGTTGATAGGTAGATTAATTTAGGGTTCAGGTGCTCAAGAGTCTTTGACCTTATTTATTGTGCTTTGTTTGTTCCTCCAGAGATTTTGAGTTGATCACGCTGAGCAATGAGCCTATTGCTGCAGGGCATACTACAGTAAGAAAAAGAGAATTGATCAAATTGTTGAAATATACAAGACTCCTCCCCCAAAACACAAACAAAAACAACTTTATACTTAGGTGACAGTAGCTACATTTTGCTCTTACAAATATTTATAATTAATTCAACTTTATTTTATCACTCATGGTAGCTGTAGAAATGTATGCTGGTGATAAATCACATTACATCACTATTAATCCTTGACAAAAGAAATGATGTGACCATGATCTGTACAGCTTGTTGCCAAGAATTAGCAGGTGATTGTGAACTTGCCTGTATCTGTGAGTGTGTGTTTAATTATTTCTCTTTTAGCAAAATATTTCATAAATCTCTGGACAGACTTTAATTAAATTTTCATAAACTAATCACTGCATGTCCCAAGAGCCAGCTTTGGTAAAATGGACTGTACTTATATAGCGCCTTTCTATCTTACTGAGATACTCAAAGCGCTGTACACTACAATCTCTGTCCTCATTTACCCATTCATACATCACTCTACTAGATCTCCACAAAGCTAATTGAACAAATCATTCTAAAGAGACTAATCAGAGCTTTATCACATTCATACACTGATGGGACACACATTAGAGGCAACTAGGGGTTCAGTGTTTTGCCCAGGACACTTCGGCATGTGACTGCTGGTGGATTCGAACACCCCAACTCTTACATTGGAGGACGACTGCTCTAACCACTCAGCCACAGCCGCCCCTAAGTAAGCCAGGGTTAGAGCGCCAAAGCCTTTGCCTTCAGCTACCACCCATGGCACTATGCACCATACTTGTTAAGGTCCTCCTGCATGTGGTGGGCCCACAGGAAAGGAAACCCATGTTATTTCTTCAGGCTGAGCCAAATTGCGCATTGTGGGTAGAGACCTGTTCAACACA